GGGCTGGGGATTTAGCTCAGTGGCAAAAGGGCCTGCCTGGCAAGCGCAAGGTCTTGAGTTTGATTCCCGGCACCAGGGGAAAAAAAAAAAAAAAAGCTGGTGATACAGCACAGTGAGAAGCCAGTGTGTTCAATCCCTTTTCTTTTGTACCAACCAAGAAAAAATCCTATCAATAATATATATTGACTTCTCAATGTACAAATAACTACAACACGAATGATGTCAAGTGTCTTGAACTGTGGTCTAAGGAGTTTATGGTCTGATGCTGAACTATAAGATTCCCTTGTTTGCATACATCATGGGCCTGTCACTTCATCCAATGATGAACTCTCTTCTGTCTTAGAAATTCATGAAACTTTCCCCAACATTTGCTTGTAACTTTGAAATGAAATAAAAGACTTTGTGAGTCAGCCTCTTTTTGGCAGCTGTGCTTTGATGAACTTTACCCAAAATATGCAACCTTTTAAGTACAAAAACCAACAATATGAAAAAGTACATGTATGTTGGCTACATCATCAGACAATACACTCTTCTCTGAGCTTTAATACTGTCTCTGGGCTTTAATTTAATGATGAGCTAAGAACAATGCCTGGTATAGGGCTTGGAGTCAGAGATTTCCTGTTAGTTTCTGAAATAATTTTTTAAATTACAGTGCATTTACACAATTGGTACTGGACATCTGAAAGAATTTTCAAAACTGCATACTAACTTCTTTTTTAAAAAAGTTTTTAAAACGATAAATCAGTTTCTTGACTAGAAAAAGAATCTATAGCCAGGAAAAAGGGAAAAGAAGCAGCAAACATTGAGCTCTTCCAGGGTAGGTAACATACTTATCACTTTATCCTTAGTAATTATTTAATCTCCATAACTTATTGAGGCGGTAGACTTCAACCCACCTTATGTAACTAAACTGAGAAATAAAGGCTAAAATACATGTCCAAAATCCCAAGTTCATAAAATGCCGAAGCAGATTTGGGTTCAGGTATACCTGATGCCACCAAGGCCAACACAGACTGTCTTCCTCACAGAGGAGCGAAAACTCTGAGAGTGGATGACAGGAAGGGCCAAGAGTGAAGAGAGGAACCAGACAGCTAACGCTACAGGAGAACCCTAAACACTGAAGGGCCTGAGTTAATTAAAGGAGAAGTTCTGCAGAGGAGCGAACAGTCAGAGGAGCAAACAGTAGGCGCTGTCACTTCTTCAAACCCCTTTCACATCTACTACTTGATCATCCGAGGAACTACCCACTCACTTTCTTTATTTAGTCTTTCAAATAGCTTTGTAGAAGGTTACAAAGTGCCTCTATTTTAGGGATTCAAACAGACATAAATTCACTGCAGGGAACTGAACAATACTGAGAACTACCTTAGCATCAGTAGTCACTTCTGAAACCTGCTTTCACATTATAATTTAAAATGACTTCTTGTTTGTTTGCTTTTTACCTTATATTACTCAGCTATTTCCTCAGTATCTCCCTTTCTTCTGTATATACTTCCCGGTTGTCATCTGTGGCATAAGGTGATTCAGAGGCTTGAGAGCAGCAATTAAGTAAAAAGGACATGCAAAGTCAAGGGTTAAAATAGTACTACGTCATTCCAGATTCTTCATGGTTTTAAAATGGACAAAACAAATTCAACACAATGCCCCATTACTACTCTATCAACTTTCTGACCTCCTCTATAACTTAATTTTTACTTAGTCAGGTGGAGATCACAGTAACTTGTATAAGTTAGGCTCAGAAGTAATTTATGATTTACAAACATCAAATACAAACTCAAAGTATATTATTCCCTGAAATTTTAACTTAAAGGACAGGGAGAATACTAGCAGACAGAGAGGAACAAGAAGTTCCTGACCAAAGCATAAAAATCTTTCCCTCCAAACATTACCATTTAGTTCAGGAACATAAACTCAAACTAACGATGCGGCATGCAAGTGTCATTAAAATGCAGAGGGCGAGGAAAAGATGCTGGTACCAAACTGAATAGTGATAAGCATAACATCTGAGTAGTTACACTGACTTTAAGTAGTATGCATCCAGCAGGGGCCACTCACTTGCAGGCAGTCCTCTGCAAGGTTATTTCTCTTCTTTGCTCAGCATTCTGAATGCTAAAGAGAAACTTAAATAATTAAGATGTTAATTGCTAAATAATGTTTCTGCAGATTTATAAAACCCAGAACATCTGGTGTCCTTCAGATTACAGCAGAATGTGTAACACTCCTCCTTACTCTTCATTTCTCTGCACCAACTACCACAAAGCACGTACACTGCTGTGAGGTTTAGCTTGCAGAAAAGAAATGTCTATCTAAAGAATTATAAGAACTGGCTCTAGGAAGTGCCAGCCAGAAAAGAAAAAAGATTAGCAAGACACTCCTTCAGCACATAGCCTCCCTGCCCAGTGTTCCCTACACTTCCTTTCTCTCCCTATAAAACCCCTTTCATATGCCTAAATTCCCCAAGATGGTACTTTGAGAATGATACTTCTCAGGACACTGGCCCTTGAATTAAAACAATTTCCTTCCCCCAACTCTCTTCTCGGGAGTATTAGCTTCTGAGTGGCAAGCAGCCAGATGTAGGTCCAGTTAATTCACAGATGTTAATTAAGCACAAGAAAGCACACTGTACAAACAGTGTGGTCAAATCACAACCTGCAACAGTTTTATGTTTTTGTGCATAGAAAACTGCTACCACAAAGTTTCCTAAATTAAATTAAACGAGCAATAAGGACAGGGACATAAGATTAGGAGAGAAGGGTAATTTGAATAATATTAAACATGGGTAGATGATTATTTACTGTGAATCACTAATGGTAGTGGATGGGTTTTACTCAGTAGTATACATTAGCCAACCCCAAGCTTACTCTATATATGAGAGGAAATACTTAAACATGAAATATTTTTCAAAGATGTACACAGAGTAAAATTGTAATTTAACAAAAACTAAATTTTATTAGTAATTTGGGTAGACTACAACAAGGTGATAAAGAACTATTGTTATCTATAATAATGCAGAGTAAACTAGCAAGGCCCTGGAAACAAAAGAACCTAGTACTAAGAGTATATATAATGTGGTTCTATTAATTTAAGAGTCAGGTTTCTGCTTCCACTGAGAATGTGAAAATGACAGTCATTTCTACCTAACAACCTAGAAAAGCCCCATAACCTTCAAAATCATAATCTTTTATGAGCCTGCCAGAGTAAGGTCACCAAGTAAACCAAACTCCAAAGCAGGACAAACTCCTCCTACGAAAGATCAGATATCTGAATTTGCTTTCAGTTGAGCACAGGAGAAAAAGATGACACTAAGAAGGAGCAATGAGCTAGAACTCCACAGCTACATGTTAATTTGGAGCAGCAATCCCTGTTCTGTGGCCTCACTCTAGTGTTCAAGAAAGCAGGGGTATGCAGGAGATGATCAGAGGTTGCCCAGGATGAACACAAAGCCCCTTTGTTTTCTATATCTTCTTTCCTATATAGCAAAGGCCTTAAGAAGCTGAGAAAGGAGCAGCAAGTCCTTCCTACTCTCAGGCTACAAAAAAAGATCCGTAACTGCTACAGGAAATGGAATGGAATGTGAAAAATGTTCAGTTGACCCTTGTATGTGAGGAGAGGTCAAGAATAGGTTAAATATACTAATTATGATAACAGAAACTAGCATATAGCAGTCCACTATATAGATTGGAATCACTTGAAAGACTTTGATAAAACAGTATCAGGGAAATCAGGGGGTTTTGCCCCCAGAGTTCTGTGAATCAATGTCTAGGGCAGGGCTTAAAAAGTATACTTCTAAAGCTGTAGTGGTACCTCAATCCTCCCTGTGTCCAATGCCCAGTACCAGTAAAAAAGAAAGAAGGGGAAGTGTATTTCTAACCATGCATTTCTAACAAATCATGTTGAGACTGCTGATCTGGGGTTCACATGTTAAGAATCCCTGGATCAGCAACTAACTCTCCAAAGGGGACCTGACTGAAAAGAGGTTGAATGAGGTGCTGGCTAAGAGTCTCTCATTGGTCTGGATGGTGTAAAATTCACCAACCATGAAGATTTATGTACTGTATTGTAAATTACAGTGCCTCAATTTAAAAAAGTTTCCTTAAAAAACTAAATATTCACATTAACTACTCCTAACCTTATCAATAAGAAAAATGAGCTTCACTGCTGTAACAGTTTATTTTCTACAAACTGTTGAAACAGTTAAGCATCTAGCCTGGCTTTGTTTCACACTAACCAAATACTACGGGGTGATGGAAATTTTTCTTTATAAAATAATCACACCTGAGGGCTGAAGTATAGGTTACTGGGAGACTGCTTACTTACTGTGCGCAAGGCCTTAATTTGGATCCCCAAGACTTAAAAAAAAAAAAAAAAAAACAACCTGATAAATACAGAAAAAAAATAGATTTGCAAAACAAAAAAATCATTCATTTCAAAAAATCTAGTAATTTAATGGATCTAAGTAACAAACATCAATGATCGCTAAATCCATTATGTGACTAGACAGCTAAAATTAATACTGACCTCGTACTACAAGACAAGAAGAAACACACAGTACCAGCTATGAAATATCCTTGCCTAAACAAACAATCTGAATCTACCGAAGCCTCTAGACCTACCAGCTTATAGGAAAGACAAGAAACAGAAAAACGTGTCAGACAACACAAGATATAATTTGGTCAAATGTATACTGTGGAAAAATTCTACCAGAGAAAAGATTCAACAAATGATGAGGGAATGCTACCTCATCAAGAGTGGATTGCATACCTGTAATCCTAGCACTCTGAAAGGCTAAAACAGAAGATCACAGGTTCAGGACAAGGGTGGGCAACTTAGTGACTGCAAGGCTGGAATTCCCCCAGCCCACTTGCCAGCAGAAGCACTACTCTCTGAAGGGAACTCAGCTCAGTACCAAAGTTATCATCGGCAAGCACAAGATGTTGTGAAGGAGGTAAGACAGGACAAGGAATTTTGCAGGTTGTGGGGACATCTGGAGACACCCAAAAATTTACACCAGACACTTCAGGGACTGCCTACTGAGGTGCAAAACTGCCAGAGAACTCTGACCACAGATGTTCATTAAAAACTTCCTGCCTAATGTCCTCTGTCTTTTTTCCATCCCTATAAAAGGGACACACTTCTCTCTGTCCACAGCAGAAGGTCTTATCACTCTGCCTGCCTGCACCCAGGCACAATAAATTCCTCGCCATGTTGCCTTTACACAAGCCTGGTGGTCGTCTCTGCTGGTCCCTCCTCCCTCAAATGTTACGGTGACTTAGGAAGACCCTGTCTCAAAATAAGAAAGAGTTAGGGATATAGCTCAGAGAAGAGGATTTGGGTACAATCCCCAGTTCTAGGGGGAAAAAATCGTGACCAAATCCAAATCTAATATGTACACCTTAAATAGGGTCTAATTTGAACAAATTCCTAGTAGTGAAGAATTTTTTGTGACAACTCAAGGAAATTATACACAGAATGGGCATTGGACTATACTAAAAGGTGCTAAGAGTATAATGTTTCCATGTTTGTAAAAGTCATCTATTTGATATTAGAGCTATCAATACTAAAGTATTTAAACATGAAATTATATATGGGGATTTCCCTGAAATATTCCATTAAATATTTTTGTTTTGTTTTGTTTTTGTACCGCAAATCACACTTAGGACCTTGCATTTGCCAGGCAGGCGCTTGTGCCTCTGAGCTATTCCCCGGCCCTATTCCATTAAATATTAAAATACCCTTCAAGAAACAAGAGGATGAATATGATGAAAATAATTGTTAAAAGCTGAGTGAAAGATACACTAGGGATTAATCATATTATTTTCTCTACTCATTATATGTAAAAGAGTCCATATGTAATTTTCATTAAAAAAAGTAAACCCCTAATAAGGACGCTTGCATCATAGGAAGAGATTTACTTCTCTCTCTGGAGGAGTTAAGAGGTGTGGAACTGCTCAGGTTACACTCCTAGTAGCAGGGCTGAGGACAAGTTATTTGGTCCCTCATTAAATTGCAGATTTCTCACCTCTAAACAAAGTTACAAAACAGTTCCTGTTGTGGCTTTACTGTACTGTTTTCAGATTAACAAAGTAATCCACTACCGCTAATCTGGCCCTGTTTTGACATGCATCAGGATATTCTGGGGAAACACTATCAATGAATATTTGAAAAATGAACATTCTCAACACATCTACCATATCCTGAGAGCTGCCCTGATTCACAGGGGGGAAAAACTCAAGGTGACATAAAAGTTCAAAGTGGATTTATCACAGATAACTTTATGGTTTACAAAAGGGAAACATTTAATAATGTTTTTTAAGTAAGACAGATCACCATCCATCATACCCAGCCCAAGTCACAGTGTGATGAATCTATTTTTTGTTTCATGTCAGCTTGCTACAGGGCCTAACACCCCAGCTCTCTTCCTGTATTTAAGCCTTGAAAAGACAGCATATAACACAAAATAAATCAAAAGGCACATATTTTAATATTAATCTCAACTGTTACTGAACAATAGTGTTTAAACAATAAACTAACCTGGCAAGATCACGGAACAGATCTTTCCGATAATCAAACACTGAGTAATACTCAGAATTCAATATATACATGAACATCTAACATACTCCTTCTCTGATGACTCACAAGGCACTTCAAAAATCATACTGTCTCAGAGTCAGTAGGATGAGTTGTATAAAATATTACTCCAGTAATCCACAATTAACCAATCTCTGAGAATTAACTAATCCTTTGGACAAAAAAAAAAAAATCCTCTTAAAATAAAAAGGTGTATGTATGTTTGCGTTAAGGTTTAGATGTTTCAGCCAGATATAGTGGGGCATATGCCTGTAATCCCAGCACTTGGAAGGCTGAGGCAGCAG